TTGGTTTTATCACTTTACAGTAGCTAAATATATTTTTAAATATAGATATGATATTTTCACCCCATATCTTCTGCTCTTATGATTTTGTTCTACTGCTTGCTCTCTGCTCAGTGCTCTGAGATACTACTATTTTCACCCACAAAATATACAGTCAACTCACTTTACAACATAACTTGTGGGGAGCTTTGAGATGTCTCGAAGACATGATAAGATGCTATATGAAATGCAAGGATTATTATTATTACAGCATATTCTGTGAAGCACTTTGAGATGTCTCAACAACATGATAAGATGCTATATCAAATGCAAGGATTATTATTATTACCCTGCATGAAGGATACAATACAAAATTATATTTGTAAAGTGCCTTTCACGTCAGGAGGACATCCAAATGGGGAGAAATCCCACCTGAGTATAGATTTGCTCTATCTAGCATTTTAGAACATATGGAATATGGCAAGTTGCTGAATTCAGTCTTAACTTTGAAGTCATTGAGTCTTCATTTTTTTCTGTCTTCATTGTTCACTCCCTGCAGTGTGCATATTGTACAGTATTCTTTGAGATATGAATACCTTACTCACTGCACCATGAAGGAAGTTAAAACATCATACAAATACAAAGCATGAGTCACCTTAGTGCGAACAGTCCTTCTGTCGTTCTTAAATTAGTTTACAGATAACCTGCTTCAAACTAAGGCTGAACTTAAGAATTTGCCAAAATTCTTGGCAAGTTGTGGAGTCCTGTAGCTCAGTGGTTAGAGCACTCATCTCACAAGCGAAAGGACCTGGGTTTGATTTCCAGGCAGGGTGAAACATCAAGCAAGTTTCCTTACTCCAATCACCTGTTTACCTCGCAGTAACTAGGAACCCGGTTGTTAGTCAATTGGAGGATCGCTTTCCAGGGGTAATAAACCTTTTGAAAAAAATATTAATAATAATTTGGTCACTCAATCCACAACTGTTTGTGGGACACTGCTGTTCACAATTGGCTGCTGTGTTCCACCCACAAAATGTACAGTCAATTCACTTTACAGTTTATTCTGTGAAGCGCTTTGAGATGACTCGAAGACCTGATAAGGCACTATATCAAATGCTAGACTATTATTATTTGTATAAAATGCTGGACATTCGAAAATATCTATACATGGGGTAAATCTAGACCCAAGTGGAATTTCTTCCCAATTAGTTAGGTGCTTTGAGACTTCTTTAAATCCAAGCTGCCATTATATGTCTGGTATAACTTTTAATATGGTGTAACTGACTTTAATGATTAAGGCAAATGTTAACATTATTAAAGATCTAGAGGAGAATGCAAGCCGGATCTGCATGTCCATTTATTGGCATTGGGCTTCGGTATGGAAGTACAATGCCGTCAAAAAAACATTTTTAGTTGTACATACGCGTGAGATTCTCAGGTCCCCATTTTAGGTAACAGAACTAGTGTGATACAACAATGTCACTGAGCAAATTTTATAAATAAAGGATAGAATTTATAAATGGGGAAGGAGAGGCAGAATAAATGTGTATGAAAGAATCAGACAAAAGAGACTCAGAGACTGAAATTTAGAGAGATATAGAGAGATATAGAAATAAATTGATTTAGAAAATCAGAATGGGTGAGAAAGAGGGAGATAAAGTCAGTGACATAGAGATATAGAAAATCAACAACAGAGATAAAATGTCAGAATCACACAGAAATTTAGTCAGAGGGAGAGTTCAAAAGAAAGAGACTCGGAGCGAGAGAGAAAGAAAGGCAGAGAAAAAGAGAGAAATGTAGCATTCTCTGATCAATTGAACCAGAACACCATGTTTTAATGAGGTCCCCTGTACTGCAGCAAATTCGTATTTTGTGTGATGATCTCTTGTCGGCACTGCTTCCATATCCATATCCATAATAGATCAGTTATGATCAGTTGCAAAGCTGCCTGTGAACTCCTAGCTTCTTTTTAACTCTTTGGTGTTTATTTTACACTGTCAGAAAGCCAGAAAGTGCTTTCCCAAATTATCAAACAAAACATCTGCAACAGTTTTCATTCCTCAACAGTTATTAAGTGGATAACAGTTCTCAAAAGTGTAAAATGATTACATATGAGTTTGATGTGATCGTTTGACACCATTCAAAAAGAGAAAGGAGTTTCTCTCTGTGTCCTGGCCAACAATCCTCCAAATAAAATTGGTCACTCATATCTTGGCTGTTTGTAGGACATTGTTGTTTGTAATTGTGCTGCTACGTTTGTCTACAAATAGACAGTCACTCCATTTCACAATAATTCCTGTGAAGCGCTTTGAGACATCCTTCTGATGTGATAAGGCGCTATACCAAATGTAAGGATTAGTATTATATATATTAATCATTGCTTCAAATCAAAAGGGTTGAGTTATTTGTGGCTTTAATAAAGAGCAATTGACAACTCCCCTGTGAAAGCCATGTTAGAGGAAGTGGTGTCCTCGATGCTCATAGTTTGCCAAGATTTTATTCATGGTAATTTGTGTAAAATTGATAATTAAGCACTCAGTGTCATTGTATCAGGCCAAAGGAGTAAGTCATAATGAATACCATTTCCATTTTGTTCTAAGTTAAATATAAAGACTGCCAATATTCGATCTGGAGTTAACCTCTTCCTCAGAACACAATTGAAGCCAGGGCTGATGCACAACTTCCCAACACCGTCTGCCCTCTGCCACATTAGCAGTAATAGCACTGCTGTGATTGTTGGTATCAATAATAAATCCTCCTGTGCACTCATCAGTTGGCTTCCCTAGCTTCAAAGGCATCAGTTTAAGAGAGATCCAGAAAGGGAAGATATATGGAGGCCAAACATTAATTCTAGCTGGCATTAAAATAGCTGAATACTCTTTAGATATCAGCCAGTCTTTCTCTGATATCTGCCATATTTCATCTTGGTTGCCGTGTACTATAATCGGAGCATACGGCTTCAGGTGTAACTTCCTGAATGAAGTGCCTCCCAATTTAACACAGAACCTCTCTCTCTCATCTACATGATGAAAAGCTACATTTTAGGCTCTGGTGACTCCCTGCCCTGAGAGCTTCTGTTGAGCTATGTCAGTAATAATCTTACTCTCTCCTCAAACCCTTTGGTGGCTGTTCTTAGGTTTGTCAAGTTTTTATTTATGATAGTTTGTGTCAAATTAATAATTTATCACTCAGCAACTCATCACTATCGAAACTTTATTCTGTAAAAAGCTCTTGTATGGAAAGGCTTGAATATTAATATATACAGCGAGACTGGTGATTCCATTGTGCCCTTTGAAATCAAAAGAAATAAGTGGAATTTTGTCTTTTTGTGAGAGCAAAATACTATCGCAGGGCCTTTGTGAATCATATGGAAATAGTTTGTGCAAGCAGAGAGCTATGAATTTTCAGCACCACATGCTGGGAATATTACAAAGGATGATGATTCCGAGATCTGGAGTGGAAGACTTGACTTGTTCCTGGATGAAAAAGCATGCAGTGATTTTACTTCTGCAGGAAACTGACATTCAGCTGTTTTTTACTCCCAAACTGGTCAAGACAAGAGAACATGTCTGCTACTTTCCATTTGCCCTTACATTGGGGCAGACACCAAAAGGCTATCAGCAGCGTGAATTGCTATCAGTCACTTTTCTCTGATTACATTTGTAAAGATAACCTGAAAGAAGAATTGAAGACTAAAAAGTCATGGGGGGCGTGGAAGAAAATCAATGACACATTTTGAAGGACCAGTGCAGAGGTAAAAAAAGAATAGCTTTCAAATGGCACATTACAAGAAATTGTTTTTTTCCCCAAAAAAATGACAATACACACAATTTGTAGTTTTATCTAATGAAAGACTCCATCAATTTCAAAGTTACTCATTTCCGCTAAAATAAACAGGTTTTTTAAAGTCAGCTGGCCATAATTATTCATGGTTTTATTCTTAAAAATTGGAAAAGAAAAAGTGCTCAATTTCTCAGAACGTTTTACAGAGACAAAGTGGGAGTTCAGTCTGAGGTGGGAGATACATAGATGCATGAGGGTGGGAGTGGGGTTGGGTGGCAGTTTCAATTGAGTCCTATAGCTCAGTGTTTAGAGCATTCGCCTCGCAAGTGAGAGACCTGGGTTCGATAAGCGGCAGGGCGAAATGTTGAGCAAATTTCCATACTCCACACACCTCTGTTTACCCAGCAGTAAATAGGAACCCGGATGTTAGTTGATTGGCGGATTACTTTTCCAGGGGTAATAATTCCTTCACTGCTGCATAGTTGGCTGCTGCATTTCGCCCACAAAATATACAGTCAATTCACATTATAGTATATTCTGTGAAGCGCTTTGAGATGTCTTGAAGATGTGGTAAGATGCTATATCAAATGCAAAGATTATTATTATGATGAGAAACTCTTTTCAGTTGATTTCAATGAAACCTGTCTTATCATTTGCCAAGATAGAAAATGGCATCTCAGCTTATTAAGTCTCGCATATGAACTTTATCAAATGCAATATAATAATCCAGTTAATTTCATCCATTAGATCAGTTATATCCATCAGTTTAGTTACCTTCTTTCATATAATTTCATGTAAATATGAGAAGAATGGCCTATTGTGTCCAAATCAAAATTGACTGTTCCCTATGGTGCCTGAACTCCTTTGATAGCATTGATACCATCTTGCACATAGATTTGCATATACAGTACAGAAACAGGCCATTCAGCCCAACCAGTCAGTGACGGTGTTTACATTCCACATGAGTCTCCACCCACTCCTTGCCCCCAAACCCTTCTGTTCCCCTCTCCCTCATGTGTATATCTAGCTTCCTCTTAAACACATCTATACTATCTGGTTCGACTACTACTTCACACATTACCAGCTGTGTGAAATAGTTCCTCCTAAATTCTCTTTTAGATCCCGGTCGCTATCTTATTCTCGTGTCCCCTGGTTTACTGCATATGTTGGTGTTGTGAGGCACGCAGTTTATCAGATATTTTTTCCATCCTTTTTTTATGCCTCTTTTTGTTTTACTCCAGAGAGTACTCAAGGGACAGCAACAATATCAAAAGTGACAACGGTGGCAGCAAGTGATAGTGTGACAACAGAAACTACCCCAACTACCCCTGGGGCAGAGAAGTCTTTCACGTCAAGTAGCTGCAACACATCGCTTCCCAAGGAGACAGAAGAAGAAAAGGCAAAACGGCTGCTGTACTGTTCTCTGTGCAAGGTGGCTGTCAATTCAGCCTCACAATTGGAAGCACACAACAGTGGTGAGACATGCAAATTCAATTTTCAGCAAATCTATAATTATCTGTCTCTGAACAGATTTCTCTCATTGAGCAATAGTCCTTAAAATAAGAATCCTGTGCTTCCTTAGTCTCCTGTAAAGAGATTGTGACAAGGCCTTGAGAGGGAGAGAGAGAATGAGGAATGCAGCGCATGATAATTCAGTGTTTAACATATAGATGACAGTCGTGGCTGCAAGTATATGACAAAGTATCAGTGTGATTGAAAGCATTGCAAACCAAATGACCATTGCTGAGGTGTGTATGTTTCCTTCATATTTTTCCCTTCTGAGGAGGCTATTCAGCCCATCTTCTGAATTCATGGCAGATCTTTAAATTCCATTTGCTTGTGTTTTTTTCCATGTGCCTTACTTCCAAAAAAATATAGTAATAATTCTTGCAGTTGATTACTCTGAGACCCAATCCGACATGAAGGGCGCTATATAAATACAAGTTGCTGTTGCGTTTGATATGGAGCTTATAATGTTGAAATGTTTAAAAACTTCATAAGGAGTTGTTATGAAGTGTACTGGCAGCCAATTTACACCTAGCAATGTCCAACCAACAACCATGAATTGAATGAACAATTTGCTTAGGGCAGGGATCTCCAGTCAGTCAATCTCTGCTAGGTAGTGGTCTCGAGCATGAGGAAGGAATAAAAGAACTGGGAAAATATTTAGTCCAATTGAAAATGAAGTCAATTGCATAAAGTATTTTATGCATCTGGAAATAAAAATATAAACATTTTTGTTTAAACTGGGTTAAATATTGCTCCTTCTTATTTTTTACACGAGACTCCACCGAGCAGCGAGCGACTGGTTGGATACCCCTGGTCTCAGATATTGTTGGCCAGAATACCAGGAGAAACTAATTTCTCTTTACAAATAGTGCCATAGGATCTTTAGCATCTACGTGAAAAGGCAGATGGGATCTCATCTGAAAGACACTGCCTTCCTCAGCACTCACTCAGCACTGCACTGGAGTGTCAGCCCAGATTGTGAGCTCAAAGTCCCAACAGGGGGCTTGAATCCACAGCCTTCTGACCTAGAGGCGAGTGCTATCAAACAAGTCTCTCTGTCCGTCTGCCTGCCCGCTCACCCATCTTTCCTTGTGTCCATCCGTCTGTTACTAATAAATATCATTGAACATCTAAATGTGCTCAACGAAAAATAGTTAATGTGACTGTTGTGCTATCAGTAAATGTGGCAGGCAATCTACTCCAGCAAAGTGACATAAATAAGATCCATTAATCTGAAATATTGAAGTGAGTCTGGATAATAATAATAATAATCCTTGCATTTGATATAGCGCTTTTCAAGTCGGGTGGACGTCCCAAAGCACTTCACAGAACACACTGTAAAGTGAATTGACTGTATATTTGTGGGCAAACGCGGCAGCCAATTGGGCACAGCAATGTCCCACAAACAGTCGTAGATTGAAAATGACCAATGTTTTATTATTTTTTTTTGGAGGGATTATTATTAGGTGTGTGGAGTAAGGAAACTTGCCCAGGGTTTCGCCCTGCAGGGAATTGAACTCAGGTCTCTCACTTGCAAAGCGAGTGCTCTAACCACGACAGACAAAATAATGACGAAATATTAGCCAGGACATGTCATATTTACATTTGTATCTAAATTTCCAGGGTAGTAAAGCAACATGTGAAAATTCAAAGAGAGAGAAAAAAAGTGAACAGAAGGAAAAAGGATAAAAGTGGGGGAAATAGATGGGAGCCTGGGTTTGGAGTGGCAGTCAATACATACACCCAAAGATGTTTACCTAGATTGTTCCTCCTGAAGATATGGACTCATTTTGGACTTTAGTTCTATAGATAATAGCAGCAATCTCCCACCCCACCCTCACTGCCCAACGTACCTGCTCGATTTGCACACACCAATGTCACAAAAAAAGCCATGAAATTAATGTTCAATTTTATCTGAAGGAATGTCGACCCGGATCTCCCTTTCCCGAGATACGTTCCCAATACCTGATTTCCTTCAGGTGCTAGCTCAGAAAATGAGTGTTGGTAGGTTTTTCCTCTGTGGAAACCATCATAGCCAAGTCTGACTGAGTGCTCACACAAGCGGTCACCCACAAACCCACAACAAATACTGGATCGTGATTAGGAGCCTGTATTCTCCAGATGCTTTACTTTCTCATCTGAATTTTTATTTTGCGTACCTGAGGCAGAGTTTTGTTTTGCCAATTTTCATTCATTATAGCCATCATGTTCAAATCCCATGAATAGATTGAGAGTTGCAATCATTGAGACAAAAGCACCCTGCTGTAAGATAGAGCCACGTGAGAGGAATGAACAGGAAAATGCATTAAGTTTGGAAAAGGCAGAAACAGAAAGGCCGAAACAGAAAGACAGAGCGAGTCAGAGAAGAGAAGTCAGAGTGAGAGAGATACCCATAAAGACATAGACAGGCAACACAATATAATTTATAATTATATAATGCCTTTTACGTTGGGGAATGCGTGTCAACAGAGAGAGACATTCATTTTGTGGCTGAGACATACGTTTTGCCCACAAAATATACAGTCAATTCACTTTGCAGTTTATTCTGTGAAGCACTTCAAAACGTCTCAAAGACGTGATAAGGCATATATCAGATGCAAGCAACAGCAACAACAACAAGATTCCATTTATAGAGTGCCTTTCACGTCGGGAGGACGTCCCAAGGCGCTGTACAGTTGGGTCAGGACCCGAGCAGGGGGGAAATGGTCAGGGTGAGGGGAGGGAAGGGAGGGGGCGAGGAGGGGGTAGAGAGTCGAGAGGGGAGCTGAAGGCACAGTCAAAGAGAAAGGTCTTGAGACCAGCCTTGAAGGAGGAAAGGGAGGAGGCGGCGAAGGCACTGGGGGATGGAGTTCCAGAGCCTGGGGGCTGAGAGGCTAAAGGCCCGGCCACCGATGGTAGGGCGGTTGGGGCGGGGGATGTGGAGCAGACCGGAGCCAGAGGAACGGAGGGTACGAGCAGGTAAGTAGGGGGATAGTAGGTCAGAGAGGTAGGAGGGAGCAAGGCCGTGAATGGCCTTGTAGGTGAGGATGAGGATCTTGAATTCGATCCTCTGGGGGATGGGGAGCCAGTGGAGGCGAGCGAGGGTGGGAGTGATGTGGTGGCGAAGCATGGTGCGGGACAGTACACGAGCTGCAGAGTTCTGAATGACCTGCAGCTTGTGGAGGGAGGTGCCGGGAAGGCCGGCGAGGAGAGAGTTCCCAAAGTTCAACCTTGAGGTGATAAAGGTGTGGACCAGAGTTTCAGCAGCGTGAGGGGTGAGGTAGTGCCGTAGTCTGGCGATGTTCCGGAGGTGATGGAGAGTGCAGCCTTGGATGCTGATGCTGTCAGCGCCTGAGGTGCGGAGGCGCTGACGTGAGCCAATCAGGAGGGCCTCAGTTTTACGCACGTTGAGCTAAAGAAAGTTGTCTCTCTTCCAGGACTCGATGTCGGACAGGCAGGCTGTCAGGACATCGGTGGTCGTGGAGTTGAGGGTAGAGGAGGAAAGGTAGAGTTGGGTGTCATCCGCATACATGTGGAAGTTAACCCCATGTCTGCGGATGATGTCACCGAGGGGGAGCATATAGAGGGTGAAGAGGAGGGGACCGAGGACAGAGCCCTGAGGGACACCGCACGAGACAGTGCGGGGGCCGGAGGAAAAGCCGTTCGTGGAAACAAAATGAAGACAGTGGGAGAGGTACGACGTAAACCACTCAAGGACAGGGCCTTGAAGGTTGAGGTGGGAGGACAAGCGGTGGAGGAGGATAGCGTGGTCGACCGTATCAAATGCTGCCGATAGGTCGAGGAGGACGAGGAGGCAGAGGGAGTCCTGGTCGCAGATGGTCAGGATGTCATTCGTGACCTTGACCAGGGCAGTTTCTGTGCTATGGGCAGCACGGAAACCTGACTGAAGGGGTTCGAATAATGAATGGGTGGGGAGGAAAGAGCGCAGCTGGGAGGCGACAACTCGTTCCAGGACCTTGGACAGGAAGGGGAGGTTGGAGATGGGCCGGTAGCTTGATAGCTGCGACGCATCAAGGGAGGATTTTTTCAAAGTGGGAGTGATGGTGGCAGTTTTTAAGGGAATGGTAACAGAGCCAGAGGAGAGGGACAGGTTGATGATTTCTGTGATATGTGGGGCAAGGAGGTGGAGCTGGGAGATAAGGAGTGGAGTGGGGATGGGGTCAAGGGAGCAGGTGGTGGGTTTCAGGGATAGGATGAGTTTGGTGACAGAGGGTGGGGAAACGGGTACGAAAGTGTGTAGGGGAGGATGGGTAGGAGTCGGAGTGTGGGAGGGAGGGGGTGGGGGGTGGGTGGAGGTTGGAGGGGAAGTGACTGCGGAGCGATTTCCCTTGATTTTGGATTCAAGGTAATCCAGCATCTCCTCGCAGTGAAGGTTGGAGGAGATGACCTGCGCGGTGTGGCGGGGGGGACGGAGGAGTCGGGATGTGGTAGAAAACAGAAGCCTGGGGTTGTTCTTCGCCTCCAGGATTATTATACACAGAAAGTGAGAAAGACAGCCATTAAGACCAGATAACCAGCCAGAGGAAAAAGAAACGCAATAAGAAGCAGAGAGATTTAATAACAAATAATTGCATTTTATGTAGTGCCTTATCACATTGTCATCAGTTTTAGATAGCTAGCAAATGAGCAAATGGGATTTTTTTCAGAGCAGTTAGAAATATGGAATGGCCTGCTGTGAGCAGTGGTTGAGTTTAAGATCATATTAGCCTTCAAAAGGGGACTAGATAAGTACCTTAAAAATGAGTAAGATACAGGCTTAAGAGAAATGGCAGGTAAAGGGAACTGCAAGGATTGGTACTAAAAGAGCCAGCAGAGACACATGGACCGAATGGCCTTCTTCTATGCTATAAATTTATATGGTTCTGTGGTTCTAGGACAGTCAGACACACAGTCTAATGTTTTGTTTTCTTTGTTTGATTATAAAATATATTGTATGATGTAAGTGCTTCTTTTCTAAGAATCAAAAAGTAATTTGTTTTATTTGTTCCCCAAAACAACAACAAAATTACATTTGTATAGCGCCTTTCATGTCAGGAGGAAGGACGTCACAAGGTGTGGGACAATCAGCATTTTGGACCCGAGCTTGGGGTTGGGATCAGGGAGGGTGGAAGGCAGGGGACAAGGAGGGTGATCAAAGGCACGGACGAAGAGGAGGGTCTTGAGGCGGGTCTTGATGGAGGCAAGGGAAGGGACAAGGCATAGGGACTGTGGTATGCAGTTCCAGAGGGTGGGAGCAGAGTGGGGGAAGGCCTGCCCACCAATGGTGGGGCGAGCAAGGCGGGAGACTTGAAGCAGACCAGAGCCCGTTGAGCGGAGGGAACAGGCAGGTTGGTAGGGAGTTAGGAGGTTGCAGAGGTAGGGGGGGAGCAAGGCCATGGAGGGCTCTGAAGCTGAGGACCAGGATCTTGAACTGTAACCTCTGTGTAATGGGAAGCCAATGGAGTCGAGGATGGGGGTGATAGGGTCATGGAGCCTGGTGCGGAAGAGGAAACCGGCTGCAGAGTTGATGATCTGCAGCCTATGGAGGGAGGAGTTGGGGAGGCCGACAAGCAGGGAATTTGCATAGTCAAGCCTGGATGTTATGAATTCGTGTATGAGGGTTTTGGCAGCCTGCGGTGTGAGACAGTGGCAGAGTCGGGCAATGTTGTGGAGGTGGGGGAAGGCAGAGCAGGTCATGGCACGGATGCCCGTATCTTCACCCAGACCACACGCCACATGCCCATCACTCCAATCCTCTCCAGGCTCCACTGATTCCCCAGCTCCAAATGGATACACTTCAAGATCCTCCTATTCACATACAAATCCCTTTGTTTCCTAGCACCTCCCAACTTCTCTGACTTGCTCGTACCCCACTCCTCTGCCCAGCCTCTTCACTTAGGCCAACGACCCTTCTGTGCCATCATTGCCTTTAGCCACTATACCCCTGGAACTCCGTGCCTCAATCCCTGCATTTCACCACAATTATCTATCTTTAAATCCTTCCTTAAGACTTACCTCTGGCCACCTCTCCCTTTCCCTTTGCTCAACATCCAACCCTGCCACTGTACAGCGCTCTAAGAGGCCATTCTGCAAGAAGAACTCTATATAAATGCCAGTTGCTGTTATTGTTATTGCTTTAACATGCAGTTTGCAGGTGATCTACCTCTGGAGCAGAATTTCCATCAATAGGAATGCCTGTAAAAGAATCCCTTTAAGAAAACCAACAATTTGCATTTATATAGTACTCTTTATTCAGCATAGCATCTCAGACCACTGATTTCTCCACTGTAATATTTTCCCCATTGTATCTTTACCTAAGAACTTCACCAACATATGTGTGACCTTTTTATAGAAATTAGGCTACAGCTAGTCAGAGACATGTCTTTGAGCAAGGAATTCTTAAGCAACAAACCTGAGGACTTTTTCGCTGTCATGTCAGGCAAATGCTTTTCTCAATTTACATAATAAATCGCACTTGATATAACGCCCTATCATGATGTGAAACCTTCAATTAGGACAGCTGATAATGAGATGCCCCCTTGCCACCTAGTAACTGAATTTAGACTATCCAAACTCATTTCTATTTGGTGCCTTTCTTCCTTTTCATCCATTGGTTTTGCTGGTGGTTTAGCCTCAGGTGCTTCTCAATTCAAATAATGAACAGGTTTCCTCTTCCTTTCCCCCACCTCTATCCTATGTACATATTATTTTCTGCATCCCTTAAGATTTTCATGTACCACATGACATTCTCTTGATTGTGAAGTGTCGCAGGTGACCTCTCCGTTAATCATTGCATTGGAACAAAAGACTAGCAGACATAAGAGACAGGATGATATGCCAGCATGTCTCATTTGCGTTCTCTATCTGAGTGGTTGGGGCTGTCTTGTTGTAAAGTAGCTGGCTATCTATCAATGTATTGTATATTTCATGCTTTTAGTTATAGTTTTGCATTTGTGGAACAGCACTACAATTGAGATGAAAAACTCAATTGAGATGTGGCACAGGAAAAGCAGTTGAACTTTGGTGTTGGGTTGGTTCTTCAATTTGTAGGGTTACCAAAATATTGTATGTTTAACAGCTGAAAGAAGGTTGTAAATTTCTGTTTGTGTAGTTGGCATAACAAATTTATATAACCCCCAAAGCAAATCAGAGGATTCAGTACTCTGTAAGGGCTCTTTGCATTGCTCTGTTTCAATGCTTGCAGCTAGGTTCCAATTTTGTAATGTGTTCCATGCTTTTTCTACAGGATCTAAGCACAAAACAATGCTGGAAGCTCAAAATGGTGGGGGCCCCATTAAAGCATTCCCCAGACCGGGCGTTAAAGGCAAAGTATCCACTAACAAGGGAATTACTACTGGTCTGCAGAATAAGACATTTCACTGTGAAATCTGTGATGTGCATGTCAATTCTGAAACACAACTAAAACAGGTTAGTTCTAAGACAATGGATTATCCTTCGAAATGGCCTCTGAAAGGCTCTACTGTTGCTGTGCACTTATCAGACCAATGCGAATTTTATCTGTATTAAGTTTCTTGATCTGTTTATTTCAACACAGCACATAAGCAGTCGAAGACACAAGGACCGAGCTGCAGGAAAACCTCCTAAACCTAAATACAGCCCGTACAACAAACTCCAACGGGGTACCAATGCACTTGCGGTAAGCGCATGCATGATCAACACAGCTCAGGCACTTATACCAAAACTCATAATGGGAAAGGTATGTTGCATATTCAGTGCCTGCTCCAGGCTGACAGAGAGATGCATATGTTCATGTTGTAATAGCTGGCAAAAATCTAATGCAAGATGATTTTGCATAGCTGCTGAGAAAACAGTACAGGGGTCAAATTTGCAGGATTTCTTAATTTAAACATGATTCCAGGATTAAGAAATCCAAGGGCAAATTCCTTCCGTTCAACTGGAAATAGCTCCAAATGGCATTCCAACTCAAGGGAACCCTACTCCAATAGTAGATCATAATTAAGAAGTTCTTTAAGAAATGTTACAATATTGACCCAATAATGATGATGACACAATGGTAATAGCAGGCTTTTTTTCAGCAAAGTGATGAAAATGGGTTTACACTCTGCCCAACTCCTCCGCTGACTGCCTTTTCTATTCCTACATTGGAAATTTACCAAAGTATTGTATTATTTCCTTTGCTGATATGGCTGCTTTCAATATATGGGCTTGAACACAGCAGCAATTGTTCAGTGAAGTTAGTCAAGTTCACCAATAGTTTGACATAATGAAAGCAGGATGACCTCTCTTGCCCTTTTGATGTTACAAAACTCTATTCAATGCATCTGCAAAGCAATAGACTCAACCGCCTTAGACTGGGAGCAGTTTGAGATAGAAAATTTGACAAGATACATTTAAGAGTGAAGGGCAGCATGATTAACAGCTAACAGAAATAGTTAACTTGAATCTCTACCTATCTATTGGACAATCTTTATCCTTCAAGGTCGTGGCTGTAGACATTTGGGTCGCCTCTGTAAGAGCCAGGCAATGTTGTGAATATTCCAATTGAGTATTGCCTGGATGTGGCCTCTATTGATTATAATATTATGACTTTTCTTCAACACAGAAGACTTTTTTTTCTGTTTGCTTTATTTGTATGTGACTCACTATATTTTATAGCAACAAAATACATAAATATTGACCTCCTTCAATTTAAAAAATCATCAAAAGTTCCCCAATCCTCTTTTGTCCAAACCCTGTGGTTGAGAACATTTTTTAGTTCAGCAGCATTGCCTTTATTACTTCCAAACATGAACTGTTGTTGGAATTAAGCAAGTAATCCCTGAAAGCTCAGTGGCTAAATATGTAATGTGACACTGTACCATACACTTGTAAACTCCCATGTTCATTCTTGCATTTAATATAGTGCCTTATCACGTCTTCAAAACATCTCAAAGCGCTTCACACAATATACTGTAAAGTAAATTGACTGTATATTTTGTAGGCAAAACACGGCAGCCAATTACACACAGCAGTGTCCCACAAAGAGTCATGGATTGAAGTGACCAATTTATTATTATTATATTTAATAGAAAAAGCAATCTGCCAATCAACTAACAAACAGGGTTCCTACTTACTGCTAGGTAAACAGAGGCGGATGGAGTAAGGAAACTTGCTCAACATTTTACCCTGTCAGGAATCGGACCCAGGTCTCTCGCTTGCGAGGTGAGTGCTCTAACCATGAGCTACGGGACTTCACAGGACTCTACAGGAAATCAATGATCTCTCTTGAGTTACTTGATCTTAGCTAGGATAGTGGTGAATCAAACAGTTATTTGCCCTCAGTCCTGCTGGGCTCTAGAAGGCAAAATCAGTCCGAGTCCCTGCACCTGATCACTATCAAGGAAACATTGCTGGAAGAGTATGTGTGTGGAGACTGTGTGAAGACAGGAATGAGTACAGTTATCAGGGACTGGATGCCAGAACAGGAAGACTCCTCGCACGGGAGAGGTACCTGCTGCTAACCTGTGAAACAGAGCACAGCATGAGTCATTATCTTAAGGGGAGGAAGGCTAGAGGGAGAGTTGGGGAAGAGAAAACATAATAATTATAGAACGGTGAAACATATCATAGGAAGATAATGGAACAAACTATTTTCATGAATATTCGGCACTAAATTTGAGCATCAACTGCTTTTCGGTGAAGGAAAAACCCTGCTGTTCTCAAGTGATCATAATGGCATCTCTGTTTCAATGTAATTCTGTTGTAAAATGTTGCATGCTTGCACATTGGTTGTCATTGTAAACAGCCTTTTGATAATTCCAACGGGGGCTTTATGTAACCAATTGATTAATGCAATGTATTTTGTTCTGGGATTCTAGAAAGCACAACAAGAAGTGAAGTGTATACAAGCCATTTATCCCTTGACGAGCCATGGATGAGTTCACTGTTGAGTCAACCAGTATCTTCATTCGTGGTCTCCACTTCCTAAAGTCATGCTACAGATTGATAAAGTTGCATTTGGGATTCATACCTGTCAATCATCAATCTTTTTTAGCTTTCCATTCAGTGTATCCTGGTCATAGGTAAGGCTAGAGAAGGTAGAAAGAAGTAGTGTAAGAAGAAAAAAAAGCTTACAGAGGACAAAGAGACAGACCAGGAATAAAGTAAAAGAAAATATAAATTTTTCAAATTTTATTTTAGGTTAAAATGATGTTCTTTTATATTTGAGTGGGTTCAAGTTAATATAGTAATTGTGCTTTTTTTGGTCCTTTATAAAGCTTCATTGCTGTAATATTATTAATAATAATAATAATAATCCTTGCATTTGATATAGCCCTTGATCACGTCTTCGAGATGTCTCAAAGCGCTTCACAGAATAGATTGTAAAGTGAATTTGACTGTATATTTTGTGGGCGAAACGAGGCAGCAAATTGCGCACAATAGTGTCCTACAAAAACAGTCGTGGATTGAAGTTACCAATTTATTATTATTACGTTTTTTAAAGGAATTATTACCCCCAGAAAAGTGATCTGTCAGTCGACTAACAATTGAGTTCCTACTTCCTGCTAGGTAAACAGAGACGTGTGGAGTAAGGAAACTTGCCCAACATTTCGCCCTGTTGGGAATCAAACCCAGACCTCTTGCTTGTGAGGCAAGCACTCTAACCACTGAGCTACAGGACCCAGCTGTTACCATTGCTTAAGCATGTTAACACACAAACTGAAAATGTACAGGCCCCTGGAGACAGGAGTTTCTGTAGAGTTTTCCCAGACCTCCTGACAGTCTAAGGATTAAACATATCTTAACCTCTTTGCTAAGGAGTGTGCATGAATAAACAGCTCTGAAGTCACAGGTCATGTAATAAATCCCTTCAAAGGGTTGATTTGATTATTGTAGTGTAATTATGTTTTGATAAAAGCTGTGAAGTTTATAAATTGTTCATCACATTATTACTGGATTATGCAGCAGTGTGTAGCAGGTGTGATACATGCTACATTATTTAACATCACACAAATAATTGCACAATTTGTTTTATTTGTTTTGGATATCAGTCATCCTTCTTTTAAAAAATCTGCCATTAGGAAATGTAAACGTGGAGTGAGAATTTGTACAGGCAGGTGCACCTGATAAGACTGGTATGGTCAAAGTTGTTAAATAATAAATAATCCTTACATTTGATATTGTACCTTTCAGATCAAGAGGGCATATCAAAGAGCTCTACAGGATATACTGTAAAATGTAGTTACTATATATATTTTGGGTGAATGTGGCAGCCAATGTGTGCCCAGCAATATCCACAAATATCCCCAATGTGATTGACCAAATTATCTGGGGAATTGGTTGCCATGACATAGTGAGAAACTCCGTTCTCTTTTCAAATATTGCCCTGGGATCTTCAGTGTCTATCTGAACATGCAGATGAAAGAATGAGACCTGAGAAAGAATGAGCATTTTAAGATGTCCTCCCAACATGAAAGTTGCTATATCAAATGTAAAGTATTCTTTTTATTATTGAACAAAATTATACACAGTGCCCCTAGTGTAGCCTGACCAGAGAACTGAACAGGTTAGGGATAACTTCTGGAGGATTGAATGATGATTGATTTGTTTGTGTATATTGTGCAAAATACAAATCTTTTTTAAAATGACATACGATACAATTTACATTGATATAACACTTTTCACGTCGGGAGGATGACCCAAGAATTTAAAATGACACAAATCATGCAAAATATATAACAGCACATCTCTGTGCTGACAATTCTCTTGTGATGCCGGTAATGAATATTGTAGGGAAACCCTTGAATTGTACGGACAAATTTGCTTCATTGTGCTTTTTTTGCAGGTAAAACTGGCATTTCAGAAGGAATTTGCGAAGCCACTGACAGCTCGGATTTTACCCAACCCTCTGGCTGCTGCTGCTGCTGCTGCTGCCGCCGTGGCTGCAAATTCACAGTTCACTTTGCGCCCTAGCCCGGCAGCCACCTTTTTCCAAACAGCAGGCCTCCCTCCAGCCCTCCTCCGACCAGCACCTGGACCTATACGAGCAACACACACCCCAGTCCTATTCGCTCCTTACTGAACTGCCTCTGTGCAGGAATGAACATGACCAAACTGAAAATAATAATAAAGTACTGCAATAATTCAAACAGGGAACTATGCAGTGATAATCATGGAAACAGACGGTGTTCGAAGAAACTAAGACTGCTTCTGCTGTAATATAGACTGAACTTTGAACGGCTGCTCCTTTGTCCAGTAAGAAGAACTAAAGCAATCCTCCCTTAAGGAAATTATTACAATCATTATCTGAGTAGTTTTGTTTTGTGTGTTGTAGAAATGTACAGGGGCTGCAAGATATCCATAAAATCAGCCTTTCTACGCAGTATTTTCATGTAATGTTTTCATGTTTTGTGAATAGTCTGTAAATGTGCGTAAGGGCATTAACCTAAAGTCTATGTACATTAATCTCTTCCTGTACAATGAAAACACACACACACACAATGGGACACTGTGACTATTGTCTTCATTACCTGTCATCACAGTTGCGCAGTCTGCCTCGGTGTATCTACCCAACTATAGGGTTGTAAACGGTGTCTTGTGAACCTGTTGCTTTAGCGCTGTGTATCTCTATTGTAATAGTTTGTCAAATATTATTTGCAAATATTAGAAGGAACGAAATTGCAGATGACACAAGCTTGGCTTTTGAGCATCTCAGCGAATTGTGTGTTCGGGAGGCTATGTGACGGCTTTTACGAAGCTCACTCTTCTGTGTTTCTTTCTAACTTGAGATAAAACCAGGTATTAAACTGAATTAAGATGTACTGAAACTACAATAACCACACACCTTCACGTGCAGCTCAATTATGCATTTTATAACGTAGCATCCTTAAATGTAATTTTTCATGATAACTTTATCAATTTTAACTGTTTTACTTTTTAAGGTTTACCACAGCACAACTGAATTCATGTTTCCCCAAGCTGTTGCACTGCATGAAACACAATGAAAGTTTTCTTTTTGCCCCCATGTTGACTTTTCAGTCGTATTTTATATCATGTTTACATCCTCTGTTGTACTACAAACTACAAATGGTTGGATGAGTTCCAGCACTACAATGCCATTTCTAGATCTTCCTTGTGCGTAACAATGAAGCTTTTAATGTCCTCTAGGATAATTCCTAAAAAAAAGATCTGTGTTGTTACTATGGCTGCCATTTATTTGTTTAGTGTTTGTCTGGGCATTGAGTTTACACTGCAGCCTTGTAGGGTATTTTTCAAAGAAAAACCTTTGCTAATTGATTTGTCGTGTTGGCTTTAACTTTCTCCCATAATGTCCCATTCCTGCCTTTATAGACCTACACTATAAATGTTCACAGCACAATAAAATTAGGGAAACATTTTGTACATTTTAACCGTTAAAGTCCGCGGGATTAATGCAGACTATTAGTAGTTTAGCCAAGTCTAAATTGTGATGAGGAAATGAATTTTCCATGTAATTTCAATAAAAGCTTTCCAAACCCTGTATGTTTTATTAGTGATCACCAAGATCAATACCAGAATATGGAACTAATAGCTCAGGACAAAAAACGTCAAAGGTAATGTAAAAAGAATTGTTGAAATAGAAAATAGTTTGTTAATAAAGCAAGTATTAGAATTAACATTATATATATCATAATTGCGTTTATTATAATTTTGACAAGAGGATGGCTATTTCTTCTAAAATGTTATCAATTATCTTCGCATACAGTGATCGTGCAATTGATTCTGGAAAGATTACCAAGAGACAACATTTTCAGCTTTTAACAATGAGAAGTCTATGAAAATGAGAATATATCAAACAAAGAGATAAAACTTGTGATGGCCGATGCAATAATTATTATTACATAAAATCTTGTATACCACCATAAGGCCCCCTCTGAGATATCTCCTTTTAAGACTGAAAAGCCCTAGCTTGTCCAACCATTGCTCATAAGCTGGGCCAATAGAAAAGTGCAGACATATTTGCAAAAATTGCGGAGTGCTTAGCAAATCTTGCAGGGAATTGTGGAGGTCTTTGCTAAATTTTGTGGGGAAATTGCAGGGGTCGATTGGTGCTATTGAGATACATTGTACTGCTACATTTTTCACTTTATTGATAAAAACTAAACTTAAGGAAATAACACATATTAGATTGTTGCAAAAAAAATTAATTGCTTCTTGAACAAAAACTGGGTGGACATTTTTTTTTGCGGGGATACACACCAGCAAGAATACAGGAGCTCACCATCTCCTGCCTGTCAGGGCCAGCACCGCTCACAGACACAGAGACCCAGAGAGCGACACAAGCACTCAAGAGACCCAGAGAGAGACACACACACACTCACAGACATAGAGAGAGACACACACTCAGAGACCCAGAGAGACACACATACTCAGAGACCCAGAGAGACACACATACTCAGAGACCCAGAGAGACACACTCACCAGAAAGACACACACTCAATGGCAGACTATTCAGTTTTACCTGAAATGTAACCAGGTTAAACTGAATAGCCTGCCATTAGAGCACTGGCCGGCCTTCAGGGCTTTGATGTAGAAGGTTAACAAGAGCTGGGTGGTCTGCTTCTCTAATTCCTACTGATAAGCTAGTCTGGCTAAGGTATCGTAGCAGTTGCCTGGAATACTGTAGACCCACCTGGCTCAGGAACTTGACTACTGAAACCACCACAGAGAGTTAGCTAGCTCCTGTATTCTATTGCCAAGCACATCACCTTGGAACCAGTTCAGCTCAAAGGAGACCCAGCTTATCTCTCCCCCTTCTCCCCCCGTTTAGGGAGTCAAAGAGGATAGTTATAGTGCATAAGAGGGCCATCAGCACATCATTTCTGTGCCAGTATTAACTCATCAACTGGGGCTATCCACTCCCATTTCAGCTTCTCTTTCCTCACATCCTTTAAGGTTATTTAAGTGTTTAATCGATTGCCTTTTAAATGTTGTTGTGAACTTGTCTGAAACAATGATCTTTGTTGAAGCATTCTCACTGCAAAAAATCTTCTAACATTCTGGTTCTTTCTTCTGGTGGTAATGCTCAATTTGTGCCGTCTTGCTTACAAATTTGATGTGCTTACAAATTGCTTCATGCCCTAGCACTTCCCTACTTCTCTAATTTGCTTACCCCCCACTTCATTACTCCTCTGCTTGGCTGGCTTCCTCCCGTCCCCTCTGATCCACTATCAGCGCCTGTGCTTTCACTACATGCCGAAACTCTGGAACTCTCTCACTCAATCTCTCCACACTCCACCTCGCCTCCTCGTTCCCCATCTTCAGATCACAATTGAATACCTTTCTTTTTTATATTTATAATATCTATGGTCACCTCACCCCTCTCCCTGGCTCAGTGCCGAGCTCTGCACTGTTGCTATACTCCTGTTTCTTTGCTATATAAATGCAAATTGTCAAATTGTTGCTGTTGTTTTGTTATTGATTTGCTCATCAGTGGAAATAGACTGTCGCTGTGTTTCTATCAAACATGAATAGGGCATGTGAAAATGCTCAGTTTATTTCCAGGATCTACAGGGTATTATCAGTGAGCCAATAATTTAATTGTGCAGAAATTGATGACACTTTGTTTTCCATGCATCAGACCTGCTAAGCCTCACAAATTCAGTTTGAAAGACTTGGAGTTGGACCTAAGATATCTGGACCCCTGTAAGCAAAACCGATGGCAACATACATAGAAATGTAACAAGACTAATACTTCAGAGGCTTCCCCTCAATATCTTGGCTAAATGCAAAGTTGTTTGACTGACTCTGTGTACGATTATACATTATCTGCCCAATCATCCTGTTTGCTACCAGTGTTTGCAACCTCCAATGAGCAACACCTGCTCACTGTTAAAAGTTGTTCACTTTCCAAGCAGTGTGCCAAGTAAGTTTGAAAATGAAAGCTTCACAAATTTGGAAATCTATTTTTCGATTTGAACTCTGTGGGAATTTTTTTTGGTTGGGGTTGGTATGGAGAAGAGTAAAGTACACAAAAGTATTTGTTTAGAGATATTTATAATAATTGTAGGAATTGCACTGAACGGCATGGAAATCTGTGATTACTAAACAGTCTTTAAGCAACCAATTTGAAACAAATTGCCAAATTTCTTAATCATTTCAAATAATCAAAAGGATATTTGTCAATAAATTTGAGCCTCGCATCACATGTCGCATTTTTCACCCCAATCATAGAGGTTGACAAACCTAACATTAAAATTATTTCTGAATTACTCTGGCTGAGATTATCCAACAGGCCTACCTTGGGGATCAAACCAGGGACTATTGCTCAATACCACACCGAATCGTGCACTTAACAGCTGAGCTATAGGAGGATCTTCCACAATGCAATTTTAAGCTTGAAACTTGTGAAATGGTCAGGGAAACTTCTTTCTTCCCTCATTCATTCCTATGTGTGGGAATATGACGAACAGATCAGATTGAAAGTATTTATCTGTAGTAATTAAACAGAATCATGACTAGAGGCAAACAGATATCAAACTTTGAGTCCAAAACACCTCAGTCGATAGAACAAGAGAATTGAATGCTTGATTCTGCAGCAAACTCTGGTACCCAACTGTTCATTGATCATAGCATTTCAGACAAGGATTAGATAACGCCATTGTCACCTATTTACAATCACAACACTCCTTTCACTCGGGGGAGTTGCCAGACGCACAGGTTTTGTCTGTAAGCTGAGAAGAAGCTTGATTCCAATGATAACATTTCTGTGTCTGGGCCAGGATAAAAATCCTCCATGTGACATTTTCAACTAAACAGACTATCTTTGTCACTAATGCTATATCCCTAGTTCCAACTTTTATTTAACCATAAAAGCTGTTTCTTTTTACCACATCTGTGACTTGAGTTGAATAATCTTGCTCTTGGGATTATTCTTTAGGAGTCCTTTTGTGACTGTTACAAAGAAAAATCAGATTTTATTGGTTTGGAGTCATAGAATATTACAGCACAGAAATAGGCCATTCAGCCCATCGTGCCTCTGCCGGCTCTTTGGAAGAGCTACACAATCTGTCCCACTCTCCGCTCCTTCCCCATATCATCCCAACCTTTTTTCCTTTTCAAGTACTTATCCAATTCCCTTTTGAAAGTTATTGAAGCTGTTTCCACCACCCTTTCAGACAGTGCATTCCAGACCGTAAATTCTCCCCATTTCTCCTCTGGTTCTTTTGCCAATTATCTTAAATCTATGTTTCTGGGTTATCACCCCACCTGCCAATGGAAACAGTTTCTCCCTATCTGCTCTATCAAAATCCCTCATAATTTTGAACACCTCTATTAATTCTCCCCTTAACCTTCTCTGCTCGATTTCAAGATCCTCACTTTCATGTTCAAATCACTTCAACCCCTGGCACCTTCCTACCTCTCTGACCTCCTCACTCCGCAATCCACCACATAACACCTCCGCTCAACTGGCACCGACCTCCTGCTTGTCTCTTGCACCCTCCGCTCCACCATTGGAGGTTGCACTTTCAGCCACTACAACCCGAAACTTTGGAACACTCTCAATCCCTCCGCCTTAGCCCCTCTGTCCCCTTTTTCAAGTCCCACGTTAAAACCTTCCTTTTCGACCGTGTTTACGGTCACCTCCCCGCCCCTGGCTCGTAGTCAGGCTCCGCCATTGGTAAGCATTCTGAGATGCTGTCCTGCATGAAGGGCGCTATATAAGTTCAAATTGTTGTTGTTGTTGTTGTAAGGAGACAATCCCAGCTTCTCTAGTCTCTCCACATAACTAAAGTCCCTCATCCCTGGTACCATTCTGATAAATCTCCTCTGCTCCCTCTCCAAGGCCTTAATATCCTTCCTAAAGTGTGGTGCCCAGAATTGGACACAATACTCCATCTGAGGCCTAACCAATGTATACTGGCTTTCCCAATGTCTAAGATGGCATTAATATTTTTCAAATCATGAAAGCAATCAATCGCTTGTGTCCCCAGAGAGTCTGTAGGAATGACCGGAAATAATTGGTGTTTCATAATAGATTTAATGTGATAATCTATAACAGAATGTCTCAATCTTTACCTCACAGTCATTGAACTCAACCACTGATGATGCTGTTTGAAGCTTTAGTCTGATTAGTGCCTTGTAATTCCAACCTATCCATTCATTGTTCCATGTATATCATGGGAGACCTCAATCCATCCTGTTTGCAATAAATTAACCACATCAATATGGATTATGTGTTACAATGTCTGATTCACTGCTACAACCTTGTCAGGTAGTGTTTAGATTTACCATCTTTAAATGATATCCAACACTCACAAATGAGATTTTATTGGCAGTGTGTATCTTGTTTCAAAAGCTGAACCCATTTCCAAAGTAATCTCCAGAGCATTGCAAACTTTTTTTTTACTTTTTCTGAGTTCAGGCTGCAAACAGAAACCACATTTGGAAGGCCTACAGAACTGCTAAGACTTCTCCTAATACATTACCTTTCAACTGAAGTACCAACGGTGTTTTCTTCATGGTGCTTCTTAGAAGCTTATACACATGCTATTTATCACTATAGAGAGCATATTTGGGGACTGGATCATATGCCCTTACTGTGCTAATATTTTTCTTAAACTTGTTTTTTATTGCTTAAAACATAGCAATAAAATTTCAAACAGCAGTGCGTTCAGAAAGGGAACTTGATTTTCACTTACTGTTACCAACTG